ATTTATGTGGCCATGCCGTGTTCTCCTGTGATCACAGATTTGGGGGGTGTTATTTTGCTATTTGATCTTTTTTTGAGATGTGGAATTGATTCCATGAGGCAGATAACAGAGCATTTTCAGTGACTGCCAAAAGACATTGTTTTGCATTTTGAGACATTACTATGATTTGGATTAATTAATATTAGTATGACTGTAACCACAATGATTCTGAGGAGATGAGCACTCATTACCAGTGCCAGGGAAATCGGTGAAGCAACTGGGGCTCCATGGGTCCCATGTGAGCCAGCTAGGGCTGGGAAAGATGGGGCTGCTCTGTGTTTCATCTGCCTGGGGCCAGGTTGCAATATGTGGGGTTTGGTGGGATCTTCCCAGCATGTCAAGGCTGTCACAGGTTTATTTGTATATCTGTGGTTTGTGGCAGCTGGGCTTTGGAGAGAGCTGGGACATAGTCAATGCCCACCTCTGCTCCCCTGGCATTCCAGATTGGGAGGCAGCAGCTCTGCACAAGGAAAGAACTAGGGGTATTTTTTCTTGCTTGCTGCCAGGCTTCATTTTGGGTTAAATCTTCATTGATTTTGTTTTCCAATGAAGTCTTTCTGTGGTGATCATCGTGTCAGCTGGAGTGCTGGCACCTCCAAAGGATGTGCTGAGGTCGTGTTTGGCAGCAGCCCCCAGTACCCAGCCCCCTCCCAGCTACATCTGGAGCCCTTGTGCCTGCAGTAACACTCTCCTCTGCTCTCTCCCCAGGATCGACAAGACAATGCTGGCCAGCCTGAAGATCAAGTGAGTACCTGGCTCTTCTCTCGTGCAGTGATTTCCTGTGGGATGAGTGGTGCTGGGAGCTGGCTCAGTGTGTGGAGGATGCTTTCCTGGGAGCTGGGCTCCAGCTGGTGCAGTGGAGTCCAGCCATGTCCGCCCACTCCAGGACATGCATTCATGCTTGTCCCACAGTCTGTTCTCCCGAAAGCCTGAAGTGAATCAGGCACTGGGAGATTACAACAAACACGGTGACGCAGTCGCTGTGAGATCAGTGGGCTGAGGTGTGCAGGGGGCAACTCACAGGGCACCAGCTCTGCCTCAGGGGTAGCAGGGGTGAGAATCAGCAGGCCAGGCTGGCACTCAGCTTCTGGGTGTAAATCCAGTCTGGAGGTTTTGTATTTTGTTTTTCAATCTGGAGAGGTGGTGAGTGTCAGTGGAACAGTGCGTGCCTGGTACCCAGCCCCTCTCCTGTGCTGCTGAGAGGCTCTGGGCACTGCTCTGGAAGGGGTGGAGATGCTACTGGGGTCAAGGAGGGTCTGTGGACAGGCAGTGTTGCTTCATGGGTCCATCTTGGATTTGCCACACTGGTGGGTGGTGTGGGCTGTGCAGCTCTGACAAGGTGGCTGCTGGGCCAGGTCCTGTGCTGTGGTGGAATGAGTTGTAGGAGGTCACCATCCCTGCTGGGATTTGTCCTCGGATGCTGGGGAAGAGAAGGTGGTGAAGGTCTGGGAGTGGTGGCACCGATGCTCTCTGCTCTCCCAGCACTTGTGGCTGTCTGGCACCTGCCTCCTGTTCCCATTAGCTTTGTCCTCCCGGCTGCACATCCTGGATACTGATCCCTTCCCTCCCACTGTAGTGCATCCTCCCGTCTCCTGCATTCCAAACGATCTCCTCGGGACGGGGGTTCCCCACTGTGAGCACACGTGCAGCTCCAGCACTATCAGCTTCACGCTGTGCTGATGCAGAAATGCTCTGGTCAAACTTCCCCTGGGCTCCAGGCAATGCATAGGATGATGGCTCATGTGGTTTCCCTTTATAATCATTGTGCAAATTATTCTTTAATGGAAAAGTATCCAGAAAGCCTGGGGGAGCTGCTGCCTGAACAAGCCGCTGAATGCCCATTTTAAATGGCACAGCGGAATCGCTGGTGCTACACTTATTGCCCAGGTTGTGCTGAACTAATGAGAAGTTTAAATCAATGTTTACCACTTTGGGGAGTGGAGGGAATCCTCTGAAGACTTTCCTTTTCCCGTGAAGCTGAGAAGGACTGAACTGCTCCTTGTACTCTGCTGTACACTGTGCTCTGATTTTTTTCTAAGTCTGTGGCAACAGTTCTGCAGCAGAACCCCCCGGTACCCTGCTCTCTCCACCGTGCCAGCAGCTAATGCTGTGCTCGGGATGCTGTGCCAGTGCTGTGGGCACACTACCATGCTCCTGCCTGGGCAGGGTGAGGGTCTGGGGCCACGTTTCTCTCGCTCTGCCTTTCCTGCCCTGGCCAGAGGAGGGAGTTTCCTTGGAGCTTTTGATGAGCACCCACTGATAGTTGCAGCTAATGCTTCCCGCAACTCCGTGGTGCTTCTGGTCTGTGGGTAGGCTGCTTCATTAAGTGGTTCTGTAATTGGGGCTCAGCCAGAGCCATGTTTCGTATTCGATTAATTTCATATACGATTTTCGTAAAAGCTTTTAAAATTATAAAAATACGATAATCCCAAACTTTCGGGTTTTTAGCGCCCTCTTGTTATTGCTGCAGCCTCTGGAGTGTTCTGGTTTAACCCGTGGCAGAGGCACCAGGCATCGGAAGTTTTCTTTCCCCGTATAAGTTACTACCGAAAATCGGAGCTGCTTTCCGCATGCCCTGGAGCGCCTCAGGGAGCCTGCAGACACCAGCACCGACTTGCAGAAAGCTGGCGGCCGATGTGGCCCCTGCGAGGCGGTGTTTGGAGGGACGGAGCACGGCTGAGTGATGCAGGGCAAGCCCTGCCTGTCCTCCCAAGGATAAACCACACAGAGTCAGGATAAACTCACCCACGCAGGTGGCACCGGGGTATCAAAGCAGTTTTCCCCACTGTGTCTCCGTTTGCTTCTTCAGTTCGGGTTTCACTGGTTCCTATGGTAACCGTGAATGCGTCTGAGGGGCTGGAGAGCACCAGCAGGCACCGCAGAGTGCGGGAGAGGCGGTGCGGGAGCCCTGGCAGCGCAGGCAGGGCTCAGCTGACCCCTCCGGTGACAGGCGCTGGCAAAGGTGCCAGGGCTGCAGCGGGCAGGGAAGGTGCAGCACAGGGCCCGGGCGTCCCCGGGCAGCTGCTGCCGAGGAGCCGCACAGCTCGGTCTCTGGGAAATGCAGGGAGGCTCTGCAGAGGCCTGGCTGTGCCCCAGGGAGCTGTGCCTGCTAGGCAGAGGAACCTGAGAGCATCGGCGCCCAGCCAGGAGAGCTGGTGTGCCCTGTCCCACCACTTGGGTTTGGATGTCCCAGCCCTGGGCCAGCCTGGCTCTGGAACCCACTGTCCTGCGGCAGGAGGCAGCTGAACCTCTGGCTGCCGTGGGGAGCCAGGGGCTGCTCTGGGGAGCTGAGATATGCTCCTGCCCAAAGAAGTCTGGGAGAAGGCTTGGGGATACTCTGCTCACTGTTTTTGGGGGTGCACATCCCCAGGGGTGGAAGCAGGCACTGGTGCTGCAGTGCTCAGGTGCTGGGGCTGTTGAGAGCTGCTGGGACTGGGGCCAGCCCAGGGAGCTGTGGAATGGAGACTGAGACACTTGGACAGTAAATGGATTTGGCATGTGAAGACCCTGTGTTTTGGTCTGGACCAATTCCATCGTGATCCAAACTTTTCTGTTACATTTTTTATTCCTTACCCATTTCAGGGGAAAGCACTTGGAGGAGCTGAATCCCCTGAGTTGGCAAAAGGGGAATCGTGTCCACAAGCAGCTCCCCAGCCTTGGCTTGGTGCTGGTGTTTACTTGTGTCACATGAAGTGTCTGTAGGGAGCTGGAGTCCTGCAGTCCCTGTGGCTTCCCTGGGGGCATGGCTCCATGCAGTCCTTGTCACACGTGGGGTGTTCGAGGTCAGGTTGTGCTGCTGGGAAGGGAAGACATGAGCCAGATGGCAGCTAAGCTGCTTCCCAAGCGGGAAGGTCACCCTGGAGGAAAACATCAGCCTGCAAAGGATATTTGCACGTCAAGCAGCAGTTCTGGCCGGGTGAGCCAGCCAGGTGGGTTTGTTTACCTCTCACAGCAGCCCAGAAAGTGCAGGGGTCCCCGAGAAAGCAGGAAGAGACCCTCGAGCCCCCTTGGCCTTGTAAAGTCCTTGTACTGGGGATGCTGGAGGTGGAGAAGTGGGATGGGGACTCATGAGGCCCTTCCTCCTCCTCTGTGGAACAAACTGGTAGAGTGATGTCCCACGGGGGTTCACCAGCCCTTTACCTGCTGACAGCTCCTCAGCTCTTGTGCTCTGGTTATTTGTTCATTGGTATTCATGGGGTATGCTGAGAAACCACAGAGTTAAACAAAAAAATCAGTAAAAAAGCCCCTCCTTCAGGCAGTCACCTCTTCTTTTAGCCTTATAAAGCGAAAATAGCACCAAAATAATCATGTCCCTGTGGAATGGAGGAGCCATGTACAGCAATTACTGGGAGTCAGTGTGTGTGCAGTCAGAACTCACATGAAAGAGCATGTGATGCTCCTCTGCCGATGGGAGCAGGAGGATGAAGGTGGGAAGAGATGAAAGATTTACTCAACCTTTGTAAAAAGATCTGTGTCCAGGCTTGAGGCTCTTTAATATTTGATGGGCTGGAGCTGAGTTAATGGGAAGATGTGGGAATGATTTAGCATCTTGGAGGTGGCTGCAATGACTATTGCCCTGATCTTGGAGGTTTGTGCTTGGGTCCTGTGAGGACAAGGTCTGGCGAGCAGATTGCATCTAAGTAAATTCTTTTGACTTATTAGCACTTCATAAATGGATAACCACATGTAAATGTATGTCTTGCCATTATATTTAGCCGGAGAAGCACATGCAAAGGAAATGCTCTCAAAACTACCGCAAAGCAGCCAGCTGCAGCACACAGGGAGGCTTTCTATCTCCCTTGCTTTGGAACTGCTCCTCTCCATTGCTGTGGGCGTGGAGACAGCCCCGTGTAAACCCCAGCAATGACCCCCACCAGCAACATGCCCTGGGTGGATATCTCAGCTCTGGAGGTGACCTCCTTCTGCCAGTGTGCCTGGGGAAGGATTGAGCATGCAGGGCCAGGGTGCAAGGAAAGCCTTGGACTTACAGAAAACTTTAAACTCAGTTAAGACCAGTGCTGGGCTGGCGGGGCAGAATGAGGCTGGGTGGGGTCTCTCAATGGATCAGTGCTGGATAGGTGTTACCTGTGGGCCCAACCGAGTGCAGGGCCATGGCAGCTTGGAGAGTCATGGCTGGGCATGGCATGCTAGGCAAAATGAGTCCTTGTGTTGGCAGCAGGTCTGGCTTCCTGCTGGGATGAAGCTCCTTGCAGTGCCAGGGAACTGCAGGCGTGTGCCCAGGGATGCTGACAGGTCCCTGCTGCCACGGATGGTGGCTGTCGCCGTCCGTGCTTGCTGTCAGCTGCTGGGATGGTGGCAGGGCCGTGTTCTGTCCTTCCCATCATCCCAAGGACTGGTGGGAGATTTACAAAATCCAGCCAGTCCCAACGTCTCCCTGCTATCTCTGGCAGGCAGGCGGGAGTGCTTCCCTCTTCGTGGAAGGGCAGTTATCGCCCTGGCTGCCTGCCCACACCCAACCCTGCACCCACATAGCATCCTCCCAGCACGTCTCACAGCCTGCCTGGGACAGAGGAAGCTTTCACAGGAGAAGGAAGGTGCTGTCAGCTCTGAGGACTTGGAGTGTTTCAGCCATTTAATCTGGTAAGCCTTAGCTATATAAAATTTCAGGCCGGGGGAATGAGAACTGGCACAGCTCCACTGATGCTCTCCCTTGGTATGTGATTCTATGCTTTCCTCTTAGTGGCTGTAGGTATTTGGGTTTATGTGAGGGTTTATTCCTGCAGAAAGCCCAGCCATGGAACAGAAGAGGTAGGTGGGGATCTGGTGGTGCAAGCGCCGCTCCCTGGTGACGTTGGAGGTGGTGCAGCAGCATGTTCCCGCCCTGTCCATATGTTAAAATGTTGTTGTTGCTGTCAGACAGCCTTCCCATATTTAAAGCTAGATTATCCACAATTACATCTGCCCAGAGGACTGAGCAGCCCCACGTGGGTCTATTTTTAGCTCTGTCTCAGAACTAATAAACTGTGCTGGTTTTTCCTCCTGCCATATTTATATCCTGTGAGCTGTTTGCAGTCGGAGGGCGGTTGCTCGGAGAACAGCCACCTTCTGAGAGCAAATATTGTTGTGGTGGGTGGAGAGAGCCATGATGGCTGTGCTGATTGAGGCATCATCTGCCTGCAGGTTCACTGCCCATCTGCAGGAGTCACAGAGCTCACCCAGGCAGGGTTTGCAGGGGCTCTTGCCACACTTGGGGTGCCCTCTGGCCTCCCCTCGGCCGTGGGCACGTGCCCACTTGCTGCCAGGGTGGGTGTGATTTGGGGACCGTGAGAGCCCCATCTCTGTGGAGCCAAGGAGCCCAGAGCAGGGTAGGCAGTGCTGGCGTGGCAGTGTAGGCATTGTGCCAAAACCTGTGGTTTGTTCCTGATGATAATTTTGTTAATTACTGTACTGCTCCTGCCGGCTGTCACTTTTCCTACGAGCTGGCAGGGTCCTGGCCTCCATCCCACAGTCCAGCAGGGATTGGTGGCCACTGGCACCCAGCAGCATTACCATGCCTTGGGAAGGCTTGGTGCTGGCAGGACCATGGTCCTGCACTGGAAATGGCTCTCTCCATCTCTGCTATTTTATTTCTAGTGGGGTTTGTGATGCTCTCAGTCACCCATACAATATTCAAGGGACTCACATCTTCCAAAGCCTGTTGTGAAAACATGGCTCATCTCAGGCTCCCACCCAGAAGAGACATGTAGAGGTTTGACAGGCACTTGAATAGGTCAGAGCTATATTCTGAGTCTCTGTGAAGTCTCAAAGGTCAGTCCTTTCAGGCACTGTCCCATCTCATTCCTCTCAAATGTTACTGGTGTCACACCAGGGACCATGACAGCTCCTTTCTCCTACAACAATGTAGTGTTAATCCTTTCCAGTTTGGAACGCAGAGGCCACTTTCTAAAGCCCTGATAAGCTGATCTTGTTCCCGTTCATTGACGAGGTTGCACAGTGTGAGGTGAAGAGGAAGATAGCGGCTCTGCTGCTAAAAACTGCTTCATTTTCCATCTTTTCTAATTTGGAGCAAGAGGCAAGGAAAAATCTGTAGAGCAGCAGAAACCCCTGGATGTGATTAACTTCAGAACGTTCCCTGTAGTACGGATGTGTCAGAGATAATACCTGTGTTTTAGCTCCACAAATTATATGTGTTCTAATGCTTTCACATCAAACAAAGTGTGTGAGAGAGGCAGGTAATTGAGACAGTGTCATCTCAGAAGAGTCGATGGGGCCCAGCACTGCCGCTCCTGCTGCCACCCCTGTGGCACTGGGACCTGGTCCATGGGCCCTCACTGCCCACCACCTCCTCCCACATCCCTTGCAGCATCCTTGGGAAGGGCATTGCTCCACTGGGGTTAAAGCTTGGGCCTAATCCCAAGCTTCCCTGTGGCATTCCAGTGGTGATTTCTTGGCATAATGGCTTCAGGGATGGTCCTTGCTCTGTATGGGAAGTGGAGGAAGGAGCAGGAGCTGAGCAGGGTGCTGGTGGTGCTGGAAGCATTGGGTGAGTGGCACGTGTTAGTGGCTGTGCATCCCAAATCTGGCTTTATTAGTGATGTTACTGATGAATGGTGACATTTAGCTCACTGATTTGCTAGTAAAATTCGGAGGATCTGCTCATGCTGTAAAGACTAATTTCCTCTGCTGATTTGATCTAATTTAATTGGATGCTGAAATCTTGGAGCTCATCTCTTCAGGAGGCCTGTGTTCACAGGGAGAAATACCCCAAATTATCAGGAATACAATTTCCATGTAATTGTGCTGCTGTCATGGCAATGGCCATGGCCACGTTCTGTGTCAGCTGTGCTGCAGCTGATGCTGCCCCAGTTGCCACCACACATCCAGGCTTGGGCAGGAAAGGGTCCAAGAGAGACTCCCTTGGGCTATCTCAATTACAGGATAGAGTTTGGCTCATAGCCAAATGGCACACAGTGGATGGGAGAGGTGCACAAGAGACTCCTTGTACCCACAACTTGCCTTGTTCCTCGATAAATGAGTCTTGGAAAACTACCCACTCATGCATTCATGTGTTGGTGGCATGGTCAGTGTTCCAGGCTCCTGTCACTGACACTCTTGGGTCACTGCTCTTTGGTGGCTTTCTTAAAGTTCTTGGCCTGGCTACAGCTCAGGTCTTACCCCCTTTGGAGCCGATCTGGTTGAGTGTGTCTGTCGCACTCGGTGCTCAGCATCACCTGCACACGCTGCAGCCAGGAGCCGTTTCACTGGGATGCTCTGGAGACTCTGTGCCATTGAGCTGGGGCAGCCTGGGGTGCACAAGGAGGAGTTGCTCCCAGCACCTTCCTTAGCTGGGCTCCTCAGCATCCTCTCAGCCCAGGGGAGGGTGACAAGACCCACGTGACTTCAGCTGAATTCTGCAGTGAGAGTTCTTTAGTTTTTGTTCTTTTGTTGTGGCTTTGACCACTCTTCCTGCCTATTGCTTGGGAGGGCTGGAAATTGTGCTGTGGATGCTCATGGACCCTGCTTGACCACAGGCTTGGGCACTTATCACAGGGATGGGCTCTGGACAGGGCAAGACCACGGCCTGTGTGCTCCTCCTTGAGCTGAGCAGGCAAATTTCTCCTTTCTTGCACTTCAGCCCTGCTCCTGTGTCCAGGAGCCCCAGTGCCAGGGGACAGGGAGCCATCAGGGCTGGGGCTCTGCTGTGCCAGGGGGCCTTACCGAGGTGTGGGGTGGGAGCTGGGGCTGCCCCATGTCTCGGCACACGTCAGTCCAGTCTCTCAGAACTGACATGGTGTCAGGGTGGCTGGTGGCGTTTCACACCCGTCTCACACCATATCTGGGGAGATAAACTCACTGTGTTCTCACTGCCTGCATGGAAGGGCTGGCTCTGTGCTTTCCTGGGATTTCCTTCATGTCTTTCTAACCGAAGCCATAAAACAAATTTCTAATCAGATTACTTGGAGCTGGATGTAATGTAATCTAAAGCTCTATTTCTTGTGATACTTCTCTAAAAGTGGATGCCCTCTTATCCTCCTCCTGCAGCACCGATTGAAATGCTGTAATCTCTTTCTCCCTCATTTGCATGCTCCCAAATCCATTTCTGCCATGCCAGGGAAATTGGGATGTGACTGCTCCTTTGCAGGGGAACAGTTGCTATTTTTGGGTTTTGGGCCGTGTTGCATTGTCTCCTTTTGTTCCTCTCTGGCTCCCGGTGCTTGGTGCTGGCACAGCTGCCCCATCTCAGCTCTCCCACCTGGGCAGTGCAGGTGCCCGTGCTCAGGTGGGTCTGTGCCCAGAGGGGCTCTGGGTGAGTGCCTGGGCAGTGGTGAAGGGTCCCAAGGTGGTGGGGAAGGGCCCCAGGCAGATCTCTGTGCTCCCTGTCAGCCCCTGCAGCTCGTGTGCTGTGGGGATGGGCTGGCCGTGCCTCCAGCCCGCCTGTGGCAAATGCCTGGCGTAGCTTGTGTATTTCTGGCACTGTCCCTCGTGAGCGAGGGAACCAGAAATATCTCCTGCCCAGGCAGGCACAGAGGGTGGCAGGGACGTATCCTGCACTGTCTGGTGAGGCAACACTGCTGCTCTGGCCAGAGGAGCCCTGAGTCACCAGAGCTGGGCTCAGCTGTGAGGATGGGCTGGGGCCTCTGCAGGTGGGAAGGAAGATTGATGGGCTGCTCACCTATGGAGGGGGTTTCATCTCACAGCAGCATCTATACAAAAGCCAAAGTCATTACATAAATTAATGGTTTCATAATAATATTAATAGTGTAATTTATTCACAGCAGATTTAGTAGTTCTAGGGATAAGGGCTCAACCTTGTCCTAGTCTGGTGTTTTCAGATCCTTCTTTTTCAGCAGAGTGTCCAGACAGCCGCCAGGTGATGTGTTAATCACGGTGTGTAATTGTCCTGACCTGTTGTGTGCTCCCTCCAGCCCCTCAGGCTTCCTCATTTGCTGCCAAACTGCTCTCTGAAGAAAATGTCGGGGCATTTTTCAAGAGATATTTATTTCTTCATAAAACCGGGGCAACTGCTTACCCTGGAGGTAATTCAGTGACTGAAGGGGTGATACTGATGTTTTAAGGGAAGGATGGAGACTTGGAGTCTCTTGAACTGTAGCATTCTGTTTTAGGAGATGTCCCTTGGGACATCTGGAGAGCTTCTGGGGGTGCTGGCGCTGACAGGGCATCCCTATTGCAAACATTCAGGAAGATAATGGATGCTTTGGTGGCATCCCTGCAGGAACAGGAGGTTGGATGGAGCTGGAGGGACGAGGCATGGGGAAGACAGGCAGAGCTTTCAGATGCACCAGCCCTGCCACCTCGTGTGCCTTCCTAGGCACCCCTGTCATCCTGCCCTGGTCCATCCTGGAGCAGCTACCAGATGGCAGAACCTAAGAAATACCAGG